TTAAACCGTATTTAATACCAAAACTGAACAAAAATGAGTTAGATAACTTAGATATACAAACTAAAGCACAATACAAACCATCACAACAGAAATATGTGCCGTGAATAACTTTTAAAGTTTGAAAAATAACAATTTATCCCGGAATTTAGCTGTCAGTATAAAACACGCGCGCTAGACTATAACGGTGATGTTATGATTTTGTTTGTGCTTAAATTTTGCAATAATTCTCACTAAAATATCTTGAAAATCATTGTAAGGCTGTTTATATAAAGCATACAAAGCATATACATCGACAAGGGAACCGCAAAACTCAAAGTTTAAACTTCGTGACCGAACGACATAAAGCTGACATGTCAAATCTAGCATTTTCGTCCTTGGTCGCGTAATTTTGAAAACGGATGTAATGTGGTATAATTTTTTATCATGTTTTATTTACGTGTGCGAAGTGTTTTGCGTTTTGCCGCAGTCGTATATTCGTCAGTTGAGATATAAGTTGCCAACCTTAGGTATATTCTATATATGAACAATGCTTTTCATTGAGTGCTTGCGGCGCGCGAAAAATGACAGAGGAATGGGGCGAGCTTAATATAAATTGACATTTGGAAGCATTTGGTGCATTCTACACGCCGTTTTGGGCTGCTATGCATATACTTGTCAAAATTTTCAACAATCAACGAAGAACCTCAACAACGAAAGTTGCCATTCTCTGATCGGTTTTCTCACGCCGGAATATCTTGGATTTCTTAAGTGACAAGTCGTTCCTCGATTTACGGGTACGGATACGTGTATATCACTCGTACCCGTAAACCGGAACCGGGGTATTTTAACCTCTCTTATTACTTTTTTAATCACTATTTAGTAGTTAAATATTGGTTAACTCTCAAATACGCGCTTCTTATTGGATGACGTTTGCACTTAATTATAGTTAACTTTAATCACTTTTTTATACAACCGGCCCCAGGGATTTTATAATTTCGCTCCGTACTTATACTAACAGATTTTCTTCACAGAAATGACTATATATAAAATAAATCACATAATGGCTAAGCATACACACCTATTTTCGACATCTGGGTTTAGGCCTATGGAGAGCGCGGTGAAACACAGATTGTTGCCTGTAGTGTCCATTCCTGAAATAAGTTACATTTTGATAGAGTAAATATTACAATAAGCTGGGGGGAGGTTCCGCACATGAATCTGATACAGAAACAGTTGAACTACTCCCTAATAATTTTCGAACGTGCAAGACAAAAAGACACAAGAATTTTACCTCCGAACACAACTGTAACGACCATATCCACCAAGTCTTCAATGTCGCAATTGGGCAAAGCTTCTTTCAATTTCAAAACATACGATAGTGCATCTTCAGGTATCTCCTTACCAGCATCTATATCCTTCTGTCGCATTTCCACAACACTTTTTGCAGTTACCCTAGTAAGGCGAGCGCCTTCCACACATCTTCGTCTTAAATTTGACCACGGCATGTATGCGGTCGCTGGACTTTGAAAGCTTAGTGAAATGCCATGTAAAGCATTTTTGAAGTTCTTTTCAAATACAAGGCGATCATCATTATTCATCTCCAAATTACACGACCACTTAAAAAGGAAAATTTTTAATGTTATAGAGCACACCGTTCGTTATTTATCCAATGATTACTATACCAAAGAGAAACTATTAACCCAAGTACTTGTGCACGGTTATTTGCATGACAAAAGAGGAGTACGACTACCTCAACTTTTCAACCAGAACAGTTCTGGGCCGCGCAGATTCGATTCTTGCCAGAGGGCCTAGTGTTGTATGTTTCGCAACCGTTCCTGGTTAGGTCTTAAATAGTGTATATGTATGCTCACTTGGATATATTATCCACCTAATCTAGTATTCATAATTTCAAAACTCCAGAGTCAAAAGCGGACTGGGAAGATTTTTGGGTTTCAAATATTCCAAAATGTACACCTTGCACCAGTGTCGACAAATTACGTCCAGACTCAGGGACGTAGCGAGCAGGGGTGTGGGGGTGTAATCCCCCCCCCCCCCTTGGCTGTGAAACTAAGGTAAAAATCAGCTTAAATTCATCACTAAAATTTGAATTTTCAGGTAAAATTCGCGTAGTAAAGGCGTTAATTTTGTGAAAACATCCATTTTTGGAAAATACAGTCGATTTAGATCCAATTCCTTTGTGAATTTGGTTTAGAAAACGCCAGAAATGCAGTCCTGGAGCTTCAAAAATGTAAACATTTTCTGGGCGAGGACCCACAGGCCTCTCTTTTCTTCGGAAACTTAGTATAACTATGGAAATAAATCAGAAAAAGCTCTATTATAATTATTACACTTCAGGTAAATTTTTAACATCGCAGTTCAAATTTCAGCAAAATCCTCCGACACCCCGCTCCCCCACATTCTTCAGATGCTTCACTACGTCCCTGTTTTAACGTCCTATTACGAAACTTCAAGCCAGAGTCATCTGTAGGTTAAATGAGGATATTGGGATGAGGATAGGTTGATGAGGATAGGTTGATGCAATATACTGTAGGTCAATAATGTAGGTCAAAAGGGGCAATACGATGTTTTAATCAGCTGACCAATCACATTAGGTTTTATTTTGAGAACGAGGCATACAGTTACTCAATATTTTGGTGGAAACGCGGATACGTGGATACGCAGTGAGTTTTATTTTGAGAACGAGGAATACAGTTAGTTTAGCATTAATAGATCAAATTCTCATGGTATATAGATAGCTCTATATTTTAGTGGAACGTGGATACGCAGTCAACCAGTTATTTTATCCGCTGACCATTTTTGATCGCTAAACTATATAAAATTGACTGCGTATCCACGTA